TAAAGTCAGCTATCTTTATCGTAATAACGTGATTGTGACGTCACAATGACAAAACTTTTGGATCACGTAGTCGGGTGGGGCTCAAGAATGAAAAAGTACGCTCACCAAAAGTAGCCTACTTGTGGTACCAAACTACGCTAGCCTAGACCCTAGTTGCCTACCGTACCCTTATTAGTACAGAGGTGACGAACCTACGGCCCGTCAAGTAATTTTGTGCGGCCCGCGAAGCTTTCAGGCGATTGATGGTATGTTTGGGTTGAAGTCAAACCTTTAGGGACTGTACAGCAAAATTGGGAGCGCCCGTATTACTTATTTTACTGGAAGCGCTATTTCCAATAATCTTATTACTGGCAACGCTATTTCCAGTACAGCTTTTTTGTTGGGTCATCGATACCTTTAACATTGGATCAAAATAACCATTGTCTCATAACTTCAGCTCAATGATGAAACCAATGGCAGATCTTGAAAAAATGACTACATTTCGAAAATCGGTTAATTACCACATGATGGAATTGTTTATAATTTCTGTATCCGGAGGCTAGCGAAATACGGATATTTTGTACAAAGTCCTCGCCACTAACGCAAAAATGTGAAATTTGAGAAAAACATCACGTTCTGAAATAACAAATTAGTAATTATCCCGTTGCGGTGCGGACCGTGCTAGGAATGATTTCAGAATTTGATATTTCGGCACAATTTGCATTCATAGACCTCACCTTAAAGCAGATCTCAAAATATTTATCTGAAGGATTATTAACTAGGAAGAAATCCGGAAATTTCCATGAAACTGACTGCCGTAATTATGTATGTATGTATGTTTATTCGTCCGTAATAGTGATAAAAAAATAAATGAACGATTATTATTATTTAAGACGGGATGCCTGCACAAGACCGCACTGGCATAAAACACAAATGTGCGGCATGCACCCTTTTTGACAAATATAAAACAAAAAACATTAGATTAAATATGTATAATATGGTCCCTTATATAGACAGTTGTGCAGGGTGGGGCAATCGGCCGTTTGGTGTGGTGAAAGTGGTAAGGGTGGAGTATACAAAACTGTTTATACAGGGGAGTTTATAAAACAAGACAATATATATAAATAGAGACAACACAACACCAAATAAACATATACATAACAATGAAATAAAAATTTGAGTGGTGAGACCATATAGTATGAATGGGCGAGGTGTAAGAGATAAATTTGCGGTTCTTATGCCTATATGGTATGCGTCACTCAAGGGTGCTAGTAGAGTCTTTGATAGAATATAACTATTTCAGCAAAAATGTGAACGATACAGAGTTTGTTGAAATACTTCAGTTCGAGTGTCAAATCCTTAGGTATTCTTGTTGAAGCCGAATGTGGTAAGAATTAAAGGAAAAATAAACTTAAAGAAAAGAATTCCAACAAAGCCTGTCATGATTGCATTTTTGCCAGAAGAAAATAAATGTATAAAAGTACTATTTAATTAAGGCTAATATTTTATAAAAAGAAGCATTGTTTCCATGTCATGGATTGCCCTAATTGTATTAGGATCACAATAGAGTAATATAGTTTCATGGGGGGAAGGAAGGGAGGAATATGTTTGATTTTGTGCTATGACCTATATGAGAAAAAAAGGGCCCAGCATGCTACTTTGACAAAGAGAACTGTTTCTATTGATGGCTGGATTCAAATATGATGTAATTGTAATTTATTATCTTTAACCTAATTTGCTGTTTTATTGTCTTTGTCTAATTAGGCATGATAATATGATTAGAAGGGTGAGTTAAAAAATATTAATTCAGTTCATTGTTTCATATTGCATCCTGCTGAGGTAGCCTGCGGAGTTTGAAGTCGCCATCTACTGGGTGGTGATTTGATATCCTTCAGAGTTTCCTGTTGGTGCTTTCAATCCAAAGAGTCTCTAGTAGCCCATCTTAGTAACCGAATTCCCTAGACAGGAATTCCTTAGACAGGCCACTCGTAAAAAAGCCCTTTTTTATGTTATGTTATCGGGTAATGATTTTGCAGTTGCACAAAGTATTCAATTGACGACTAATCCGAGTATATTTATGATGTCTTGCCTTATTAATTTAATTGTGTGTTTAATGTAACCTGCGGTTGCGTCGACAAAAGAACATTACTACGACTTATCACGGCAATCCACGGCCATAAAACGTGTTTCAAACTGCCCGATTATATTCAGTTTTGATCCGTATTTTTGCGATGTTACTAATTATACAATTTTGATCTGTTTTTGCAACACTCACTCCGCATTGTCACAACGCTACCACCCTAGATTATTTTCGAGATAATAACGTTAGGAAAATCCTTGGATCTGCGATAAAATATCAGATTACAATTTAGTAGTATATACAATAAATCGATTGTACAGTGCTACCTCGGTAGTCGATCAAAACATGATCGAGTCAAAAATGATGCTGTATTCGAACGGAAATTCGGATCTCGAAACCCGAACCGAACGGAGCTCGCGGCCGAGTGAAATGACGAGTGTATGCAGTTGAGAGTTTCCAAATCGTCAATTCGTGCTGATATTAAGCGCTCAGTGAAGCAGAAAAGTTTCCAAAATCTCACTAAGAAAAACATGCGTTGAATGTTCTATTTTATGCTGCAATATATCATCAAATAATTTCAGCTGTCTGAATGCAGTTGTTCGTTTTTTTTCATAAAAATTAATAGGTATCATAGTACAGTATGACTAAGAGTTGTTCGGCCCGCTCACTCAGTGGGGACTGATAAAATGGCCCGCGGGCCGCGATAGCAAATGAGTTCGTCACCCCTGCTTTAATACATATATATAACAATAATACCCCTAACCATTATGTAACGTAAAATTTAATGTGAATGTTGTTTGTGGCTTAATTATTGACTAAATACTGTCACGCACCGTGTAATTTAATCCGGCATAAGCGTTTAGTGCAGATGCACAGTTGTCAATAATATATGGCTCTTGTTTATTAACTCGTGGGTATGGTTTTGACAGGAGAGCTGTCAAAATACCGCGTGATTTTCAAATATCCGTTCTCCAAGAACTGGTATATATATCGCTCAAATCACTTTGTGAAATCAGGAAGTTTTCACCAGTCTTCGTGGATCGATGCCGTATTGGCATGTTTAGAATAATAGCATTCCGTGAACTGGCGCAAACGCCTACCTCATCGTTTTATTGTTTTGTTCTTTTTGGACACGTTTAGTGGCCATAAAGATCGTTTCAAAATTTTGTTGTTATTGTTATTTTCTTTCGTCATTATCATTAAAAAATCGCTTTTCTCTTCGAATACTGGACCAATTGCTTTGGAATTTTCAGTGGTTCAAGATTGATTTTTTTGCCAGAAGGCTATTACTTTCATTTATTCCTGAATTTTCTATGAATCTTATGAGATCTAATATTTCATCCAAAATTGCGCTGTATTAATTTTTAATTATGGGAACACGGTTTTTAATCCGCCAAGCGTGACGGCTGACTGTGAAAATTCTTGCGACTGAAAACCCGGAACTTTTTGAGGGTACGGTACCGGTAACGTCAAAGGTAAACCCTGCTTCGCTCTAGTCCACGTGTCCATATATTTGAGCGTTGCTCTCTTGTTTCTTTTTATGCTTCATTTGTAATGGATCCTTATGCGTGACTAAATATTGTTTTCATTTAGCAAGATGGGAGCAGTTTGGAAATAAAAATTGAATGATCTAGTTGACGCTTCCTGGAATTGATTTGATATTATAGTTATTTATTTTTTATTTGCAACATGTCCGTTAGTTGTCGTTACAAAGAAAAAGATTGAATTGCTGTTTCGCTTATATAGAGGGTAGAAAGGAAATAGAAAGTTAAATTTAAACAGACAATTTGCTGATACAAACTTCAACAATTATGTGAAGGCTACCTGTTGCAAAAATGTAAAAAAGAGCAATATATGTAGAGGAAAGCTGAGTAATGTACGAATAAGAAAAATATTAATGTCTTTTAAATCAGCGAAATCCTAAATTACAAGTTTGCAAGTTAGAGAATTCTTAACTCTTTATAGCTTTGTAAAATATTAATTATTGGAGTAAGTATATAGTTTGTATGTAAATGACTTCGCTGCTTCGCGAGCACCAAAATAACCAACTTTTTTGAGTACTAATTTAAGGGATCATTTGTAACATCATGTTCAAACGTTATAAATTTGGTATTGACCTTTACACGATTGACTAAAATAGAATGCAGTAATATCTATCAATCAAGTTTCTAGAATCTAGGACATGGACGTATCGGCCCCTGTTTTTGAAGTAAGTTCTAGCTTTCATGAATGTTTACCTTGTTGCTCGTTACAGCCCATTGCATACGGTAAAACGGTTCTGAGAATTCTTTTGATTTGTGACTATAACACGACACGAAAATTATTGGTTGGCTTTTATACAAAAAAAAACAGGTTGCTCAAGTTGTAGGTCTTTTTCAAAACAGGATTACTTCGAACGCTAAAACCGCAATTTATCAATACGAAGGCTTTGCGCGCTAAATATATATATGCCGAGGGCGGTCTTGTCGCTCTTCAGAGAGTTACAAACAGACAGCGTTAAGACCTTGCTAAAATGAAAAAAAGATAGAAGAAAGTTGCGGCCTACTGAAAATTTGTAGTTTCATTTGTGTCACTATCGTTAATTTTTTGATTGTTGTAGCAATGAATGATGATGCCATTTTCATTCTAATTATTAAAGTGAAAGTTCCATATTCGCGGAAAGATTTTTTTTTTTTCTTTTGGTTGAAAAGTTAATTAGCCACTGAATTTTTGTGCAACGAAAATAGGCCAGTAAAGAAAAAAGGTTGAGAAACACTGCTGTAAACACTTATAAAGATTGAGATTCTCGAGAATTTGAACATTGGAAGATTCAGCATTACGTTGATTAGAACTTTGTCGGTATAAACGCAATGATATACATACTTAGGCTTACCATACCATTACCATACGCGGATTGGACAAGCCAACCTCGGTTCGATTCCAGAGGCTTAGTAATAGCTTAAACGTTTCCAGTACCATTGTGGGTGGATTAAGGGTATTAAAATGAGCTGTAAATCCTATCAAAATATCCTCTATTGGCCTTTGCTTCAAATACTGGAAATCGTTCAGCTCATTATAAAAATTGCACTTTGTTTCGGCGTTTCGATGATTCAACGACAGCATAGTTGGGTATTAAATTAACGCATGATTCATACTTATATCATAACTATGATATATCAATTTTACTCTCTATCTGAACTAGTGAAGTGAGACGCAAAATCGGCTGCATCCGTTAAATAAATATTTTGTAATAGTATCAAATAGAAAAATTATTTATGATTTATGACTGACTGAAGTCTATCGCCGGGACCGGGACTGTCCCGGCTAAACCGGGACGTATGGTAAGCCTATACATACTAGTCATGTCGAGTAAAAGATTTTTTTTCTTGTAGCGGTAGATAGTAAACGAATAATTTAGAGTTTTTAGACAGGATCTATATATATTCTGATGAGTAATGAAAGTATAAAAATATTTTTTTGATTGCGGATATATAAATATTTATTAGGATTAAGTTTGAGAGAATCAAGATTCTACTATGATATCAAGTGTACCGCGAAAACAGTGTCTGTATGTGTTAACACGAAAGTTGATTGTCCGCAGGCAATGTTTTTTACATTGCTTGCATTTTTGAATATTTTATGTCCGCAAAATTTTACCAGCATAGTCGAAAATTTGATTGGTCGAAAATATTACTAAACCTAAATAGATTTTATTAAGTCTAAAATAACTTGACGCAAGTATTGTTGGATATATGGTGTGTTCCCTATACCTGGAGTTGAGGAATCGAAGTCTAAATATGAATTAGCAAGTATTATAGAATATATATTCACGCAAAAGCAATATTTTAAATATTCTGTATTTTTTCAGCAGTCTATATATTATCCAAAAAGTAATATACATAACGGAACAAGAGTATGACGGCCTCTGTTCTACAAGCCGTTGTGGTCTTTTTATTTTGCTTATCGGCTGGTCTAGGTAAGTTGTTTATTTGCGTGGCTTGAGATCAATAAGATGTATATGTTAATTAAACACGCAACGCAGTATCGGATAAAATTTATATAAAAAAGATCAGTGAATGTCGTTGTTCAAGTACATGCACTTTTCATCGCAGTCTCAAATACGAAGCTATTATTATGTCACAAACGTCATAAACATGCTGCGTTGTTCAATCGTCAACGGCGTACTTGACATAGTATCATATATATTCTCAATTTTCAGCTTTGATATGCGACCGATGTGAGAATAGCCCTGAAATCTGTAAAAATTCGAAAAAAACTGAGGATTGCAGTCAGTATGGTTCAGATCAGGTATGAATATTTTCCCTATATTGATGTCATAAGCGACAGGGTTGGGTACTGGACAGTCCAACAACGGTAATAAGGCAGGAAAAATTCCAAGCATTAAAATTAGTAAACTGTAGGCTTCTGGTCGTCCGAGATATGATGAATGCACATGCAAAATCTGGAGCAGATTCAATCTCGCTTTCGTGAGATATCGCGTGCATCTAACAGACAGACTGACAAATACCTATCAACATACTTACCGATCAAGATCGATACGTAACAAATAAATGAACGAGAGCAAGTCTAAACATGGTTATCGAGACCAGAATAACTAAAATTAATGAGTTGATTCACTGAAGTAAAATTTCTGCCTGTAACAGTTGGTTTGATTTCTAATGAGGACAAAAATAGGTACATATTCCATAATGGAAATTCATTGACTTTCTAAAACGCATAAGATCAACAACATTTCAATATATATCACAGGTCTGCGCAAACTTCTATTATTGGAGCAATGGAAAAGCACATTCTGAGAAAAAATGTTATCAAAGAAAAGCTTGTGAGAGACAAGCGGAGCAGGTAGGCAATTTAACGGTTTTGTATCTCAATAAAAATATATCTACATGTTAACGTGTGCTTGTTCAAATCTTTAATAATGTATAAAATTTACTCCCAACTACAGAAGAACTTATAGCAATAACATCTATAGACATTTGTTAAAAACATAGAGCATATCCATAGCAATGATTTGTTATTTATGTCAACGATTTCTGTCGGGGAAATTCAGTCACTAAATATATAGTGATACAGAAATTGTTACTGCAGAAGTGCTCTGGCATATCAGTTTTTTCGAATAATTGAAATATGAATATAAACATCTCAGTAATCAAAAAAAATCAAACACGGATTGTTATTTATTACTAACCCGGTACTTAATTACAGGAAGATAATTTCTGTGGAGATAACGATGGAAAAGACAAACCATGTCGTTGTTGCTGCACTAAATACAGATGCAATAGATTAGAAAAAGGATGTGTTAGTAAGTTACTGGACATAAAAGCAGAACACTCTTTGATATTAAAGTATTTATCAGCATAAAGTGAAACCAGCCATAATGGGTTTTACTGTTTAATTATTACTACAAATTGTTAATTAAATTAACTAGTACATTTTCTGCGACAGTTACATAATTCAATCATTATCACATTATTCAAATGTCCCGATTTTATTCATTTAGCTGAATCAAAATGCATAAAACCAAAACAACCAACCGTTGGAACTTACGATTGCCCGAGAAATCTGAGACTGGGAGCTATATGCAATTTTACTTGTCCTCTTGGATATGATCTGCTAGGATCAAAAACAATACGATGTGGCATACAGAGTACGGGTAAACTGGGCTGGCTTAACTTGGGACAGAGATGTAAGAAGATACGATGCCCTGTGATTGAACCACTGGGAAACGGTACAGTAACTTGCGCCAACAAAGAAAAATATAGGGGACTGCCTGATTTTGTGTATCTGGGAACAATCTGCAATTTCAAATGTGATCCTGGCTATAAACTTCAAGGCGCAAAAAGGACGGAATGTTTGCGGTCGAATAAATGGACCAAGAAAGCCCCGAAATGCATTCCTGATCCATGTGACTGGTTTCCCTCTAGCAGTAATCGAGACCATACGTGTACAAATGGTAATATGCTTGCGAGCAAATGCACATTCAAATGCGCACCTGGCTATAAACTGATTGGTAATAAGCAGATTCAATGTGTTGGGGATCCTAAAGATTCAAGGGTGAGAGAATGGGACAAAGAGCCCCCTAAATGTGTGAGTGTGAAGTGTCAACCTGAGCAAGAAGATCCTATCAACGGAAAAGTCGAATGTACGAACGAAAACTTTGAGCATAGTGTTTGTACATTTACTTGTGATAAAGGTTACGATTTGGATGATACAGCTAAAAACTCATTTGACACAAAATGCGTGGATGATGGAGATGGCGACAACTTGGGCGAGTGGACCGAGAAGCCTAAAACATGCACGAAAATCAAATGTCAACCAGTATTGAAAAAACCGATTAATGGCACTATAAAATGTACTGATAAAAATAATTTAGATTCAGTATGTACATTCAAATGCAACCCCGGCTATGATCTGGTTGGTACCACACAAACACTCGTTACATCAAAGTGTGGAAATGATTTTGATGGTAACAGTGTTGGCGAATGGAGCTTGAAAACACCGCCGAAATGTGAAAAAATTATTTGCAATCCGCCCCATGTTGACCCCGAAAACGGAAAAGTGACATGCACTGATTTCAATTTTCTTGGTAGTGTCTGTACTTTTAGATGTAATGCTTTCTATGACGTTGATGGAACAACAAAAGATTTTCATATTTCGGAATGCGTCAAAGATAAATCAGCCAGTGGGACTGCAGTTGGAAAATGGAATCCGGGACCAGCTACTTGTTCTCCAAAAAAATGTCGTCCAGTCCGAAAACCGGTTGACGGTAAATTTAAATGCACTTCTGATAACTTTGTTGAGAGCACTTGTACGTTCCGTTGCGATCCTGGATTTGAATTAATCGGAAGCTGGAGTATCACATGTCGCGATCAAAAATTAGACGGAGACAATGTTGCGGAATGGTCTGCCAGAGAACCAGAGTGCAGTAAAATTTTCTGTAATAGACAGGATCAAGATGACACAGTAACACGTGTGTGCGATCCAGTTGGAGGTAAAGTATTTGTAGTTGGCACTGTCTGTACGTACAAGTGCAAAAACGAAGGTCATTACATGGTGCCGTTTGGAAAACCCGATGAGGTAGTAACCACTGGATCATTGGACGTTGAATGTCGTACCAGTAAACGATGGTCTGAAGGGGCCCCTACTTGTGTTCCAATCAAATGTCGACCCTTAAAAACTCCCGAATTTGGCCACGCTCCAAAATGCTCTAATTCCAGGTGGTATCAGTCCTCATGCTCCTTCAGTTGTCGTTCCACATATGCACTAACGCACGAAGAACCACTGGTATGCGAAAGTGACGGAGACAATTCTGATAAAACGGGAAAATGGAGTAGAGAGGAACCGACTTGCAAAAAGAACCAATGCGAACTATTTGGACGAGTCAACAACGGCGTCATTTCATACACTGATAAACAAAAAATCGGCTCACTCGCTAAACTCAAATGCAACCCCGATTATACATATAAACAATTCCAAGATGCGGAATGTCTAGACTCAGGTCCAACCAGGAGCGTTCCGGACTGGAGCAGAAGAGAAAACGTTTGTTGCGTGAGATGCCTTTTCAACAAGAGATTGAAAATTGTTTCAGTAATCGATGAAACCATTGGAAATAGTGAAGAAAATTGGGAAAGTATCGCAACGTGGCATTTTTACATAATTGAACATTTATTCACCAATGGATATGATGTCAACTTTGGAATGGTTTTGTATAACACAAAGGTTAATACTGAAACATCAACGAGGCTAAACAAGCTCAAAAGATACAGCGATGTTGAAGACGTACAATACGAGATTTTAGATAAAACACATGGCGGAGTTGGTAAGCTTGATATATTTTTATGGATTGAATAGTTACTTTACTTAGTCATGTAATTTAGTATAGTAATGATCGCATTTTTCATTCTGATACTGCATAATCAAATTGAGAACTTTTCAACTAAGCATTTGAGTTTTATCAGAATAAGTATAACTATGTGATCGATAAGAATCACTTAATTGCATTTATAGTATGATCTTCATACGTAATCGTCATTTGATTTCAATATGATACAGATGTTGAAAAATAATATTTTTCATTAGGATCAAACACTGGTGCAGCATTGGACTATACTATGTCCAAATATTTCCACCGGAAGACGAAAGAAGAGCCATACGTCATTTTACTCAAAAGCGATACTTCTTCTGATGATGAAATGGAACCAGCTGAAAAGATCAGAAATGCGGACATCAATGTAAGGCATTACGCAACATATATATAATATTCACACAGAGCTTGGAACCTTGTAACAAATAAACTATACAATAGCTAATATTAACCTATTCAAAATTAATCATAGCGCAGAATATTACATTACAACCTTCGTAATAAATCTGAAAATAGTTGTTTCATGAAAATTAATAGGAAAGATGTAAAGTTTGGCGATAAACCACGAATAGTCTTCAACTCTGTTCCTACAGCATTTCGATAATTACCGGTTGATGCTAAAATTACCACATTGCGGTTGATTTATGTCAAAAAATACATTTTTAGACCATTATTCTGGTATTTATTTTGATGATTGTTTGATTCATATTTGTTCACAGTGTATTTGTTCACTCTCAGAAGTATAAATAACATTATGTTATTCGGAAGTTTTGAAAAATCTGCAAATCATCTTCATTTTGTTTCAATTTGACATTTGTCTTTAAGTTGATGGCGCTCGGATTCAAATCCGGAAATTGGAGGGCGAAACAAAAAAAACTAGCTGCCATCACTGGAGTAGATGAGAATGCTCTCATGATCAGTGATTTGAGAGACATCAACAGAGTAGCAGAAGTCATAACGGAAATCACGAAAGCACGAGGATGCGACTCGTCCAGCAGAAATCAGCCTTGCTCCTAACTGCAATTTCATGTGTACCGAAGTCGACAATTTTCAAGAATTTCGTTTCGCACTTAACTTAATCAATATAGAAATACTGAATTCACCACCAACCTTTCGATTAATTGAATTAGGTGCAATTAATTAATGTTTTGATTACATGTGATAATTTTGTAAGATTGATTTGTACCTTGTATTTTATTGCAAAACTGGTTTATAATAATTGGCAATGTGAAGAAAAAATGGTATAAAGAGTGATTAACTTCTACCAAGAATAATGTAGGATATAATGTTATAATAGCATGTTTAATGCTATGTGTTGCTCAATTAGTTTTTATGTGAGATTTTTGATATGTTTTGGCTTGGCACTATTAATTATACAATAAATATGGAAATACAACCCGTACTTAAAATTAAATCGACTTTAAATTCGCCTTACCTAAAGCTTTGCTTCTCATTTGTGCCGGAGGCAAAAGGCTTATTTCTATATGATAGTGGCATATGCTTATTATTTAATCACGATATCGCTTGGTTAGTTTACAGTAAATATATGACAAAGTACATTGTAGCAGAATAAATTTTGTTGGGGCGGGCAAACACATAACTACCATTATCTACTCTGCATAATAACTTTTATTTTAAATTATGAAACAAAGGCAAAACTGTTCCGCTTTCTCTGATACAATACGTACGTTCGATTAATTAAAGCAAATTTTGGAAATAATCTGTTCAACATTCATGTATGATTGTAATATAGACGAAAGATAAAAAAGAAATCATTCAAATTGTCTTGTGTTTAATATGCTCACATTTGGATAAACAAAAACATTGCACTCGTACATATATATTTATATTGCAAAAACCTACTCGTTTGTCCAAAAAAATTGATATCGGACGTTGAAAGACTGCCTATTTTGGGATCACGTAGAAAATAAGATTAATGCAATCACAATTAAACAGCGTTTACACCTAGATAGCGATCGGAGACCACCGACCTTATTGATCGTTCGCAGCGACGAAAGTTAGAGGATTCCCCAAAACAGAAACTGCGGTTTCGATTCCTTCGCTCTGACTCAATAGTGACACCGCGTGTTGCATCACTAATGAATTATTAACTCGCTAATTATACGACATACCTCATCCAAAATGAGTAGGCTTCTAGTCCGAGATATGATGAATCCAAATGCAAAAGCAGATTCAACCTCGCTTTTGTGAGATATTGCGTAACATACGAAAGTGCCTAACAGACAAATACCTATCAACATACTTACCGATCGAGGTTGATAAGTAACAACTCTATTTTGTGACGTTGAATGGCAGATACCTACTTTAAATTATGGAAGCTTATTACACTGAATGTACAAGAGTTTTATCTATCGATGAAACGGAGTTACTAAGGGAAGCACCTAAATGTGGTTATTGATTGGGGTGAATGGTCATGATGTCAAAGAAATAATCAAAACTAAATTTAGGAATCTCACATACGGGATCAAAAACAGGCATTAGGTCTACGAAATAAGCTAGGTTTAACAAATTTGTTTCATTAAAGCACAGAACTATATATGTAACATTGATTTTGTTGACGATGAGCAAAAATGTAATTACGATATTTTTGAAAAAAGTGATATTTTTGAAAGAAGTGAGAATTTTCATGTGACAAACATTGATGTGATACAACAAATAAGCAATATATATAGTGGGAATGTTGTACAGACACATAAATCGATACTAATTTAAAGGCTAACATGTGAATTAGCACGTATTATATAATATATTTCCTTTCTTTTAGCATCCTATATATATTATACAAAAAATAATATAAATAACGGAACAAGAGTATGGCGGCCTCTGTTCTACACGTCGTTGTGGTCTTTTTATTTTGCCTATCGGCGGGTCTAGGTAAGTTGGTTATTTTTTTGGCTTGAGATTAAATCAATAAGATATATTGAATACGCAACGCAGTATCGGGTAAAATTGATATAAAAAAGATTTGTGAATGTCGTGGAATATTCAGGTCAAGTGTAGTTTTCAACTCAGTCTCTAATACAAGGCTATTATTATGTCACAAACGTCATAAACATACTGCGTTGTTCAATCGTCAATGGCGTACTTGACGTAGTATTATAATCTCCATTTTCAGCTTTGATATGCGACCGATGTGAGAATGACCCTGAAATCTGTGCAAAATCGAAAAAAACTGAGGATTGCAGTCAGTATGGTTCAGATCAGGTATGAATATTTCCCCTATATTGATGTCAAACGGAAAGTTGTGTATTTGTCGGTTTGATTTTTAATAAGGAGTGAGAACATAGGTACATATTCCATAATGGAAATTCATCGACTTTCTAAAACGCATAAGATCAACAATATTTCAATGTATATCACAGGTCTGCGCAAACTTCTTTTATTGGAGTAATGGAAAACCACATTCTGAGAAAAGATGTTATCAAAGAACAGCTTGTGAAAGACAATCGGAGCAGGTAGGCAATCTAGCGGTTTTGTATCTCAACAATATATATATATATATATACATGCTAGCGTGTGTTTCTTCAAATCTTTAATAATGTGTAAAATTTGCTCCTAACTACAGAAGAACTTATAGCAATAGCATCTATAGACATTTGTTAAAAAGATCTAGCATATCCATAGTTCAAAATGGCATCAAATGCTTTGTTATTTATGTCAACGATTTCTGTCGGGGAAATTCAGTCACTAAATAGATAGTGATACAAAATTTGTTACTGCAGAAGTGCTCTGGCATACCGGTTTCGTTGATTAAATGAACTATGAATATAAACATCTCAATTACCGAAAAAAGATAAACATGGATTATTATTAACTCGATACTTAATTACAGGAAGATAATTTTTGTGGAGAGAACGATGGAAACGACAAACCATGTCGTTGTTGCTGCACTAAAAACAGATGCAATAGATTAAGAAAAGGATGTGTTAGTAAGTTACTGATCTTAAAGGCAGGAAACTCTTTGATATTAAAGTATTTTTCATCATAAAGTGAAACTAGCCATAATAGGTTTTAATGTTTAATTATTACTACAATTTGTCAATTATAATTTACTAGTATATTTTCTGCATCAATCACATAATTCAATCATAATCACATAGTTCAAATGTCCCGATTTTATTCATTTAGCTGAATCAAAATGCATCAAACCAAAAAAACCAACCGTTGGAACTTACGATTGCCCGAGAAATCTGAGACTGGGAGCTGTATGCAACCTCACTTGTCCTGTCGGATATGATCTGCCGGGACAAAAAATAATACGATGTGGCATACAGAGTACGGGTAAACTGGGCTGGCTTAACTTGGGACAGAGATGTAAAAAAATACGATGCCCTGTGATTGAACTTCTTGGAAACGGTACAGTAACTTGCGCCAACAAAAGGAAGTATAGACGACTACCCGATTTTATTTATCTGGGAACAATCTGCAATTTCAAATGTGATCATGGCTATAAACTTGAAGGTGCAAAAAGAACGGAATGTTTGCGGTCGAATAAATGGACCAAGAAAGCCCCCATATGCATTCCTGATTCATGTGACTGGTTCTCTATTAGCAGTAATCGTGACCATACGTGTACAAATGGTAATATGCTTGCGAGCAAATGCATATTCAAATGCGCACCTGGCTATATACTGATTGGTGAAAAGCAGATTCAATGTGTTGAAGATTCAAGGGTGAAAGAATGGGACAAAGAGCCTCCTAAATGTGTGGGCGTGAAGTGTCAACCTGAGCAAGAAGATCCTATCAACGGAAAATTTGAATGTACGAACAAAAACCTTGAGAATAGTGTTTGTACATTTACTTGTGATAAAGGTTATGATTTGGATGATACAGCTAAAAACTCATTCGACACAAAATGCGTGGATGATGGAGATGGCGACAACTTGGGCGAGTGGACCGAGAAGCCTAAAACATGCACGAAAATCAAATGTCAACCAGTATTGAAAAAAACGGTTGATGGCACTATAAAATGTACTGATAAAAATAATTTAGATTCAGTATGTACATTCAAATGCAACCCCGGCTATGATCTAGTCGGTACCAAACAAACATTCGTTACATCAAAATGTGGAAATGATTTTGATGGTAACAGTGTTGGCGAATGGAGCTTGAAAACACCGCCGAAATGTGAACGAATTATTTGCATACCATACGAATTATTTGATCCCCCGAATCGAAAAGTGACATGTACTGATTCCAATTTTCTTGGTAGTGTCTGTACTTTTAGATGTAATGCTTTTTATGACGTTGATGAGACCACGAAAAACTTCCATATTTCACAATGCGTCAAAGATAAGTCAGCCAGTGGGACTGCAGTTGGAAAATGGGATCCAGAACCGGCTACTTGTTCTCCAATAAAATGTCGTCCCGTCCGAAAACCGGTTGACGGTAAATTTAAATGCAGTTCTGATAATTTTGTTGAGAGCACTTGCACGTTCCGTTGCGATTCTGGATTTGAATTAATCGGAAGAAGCAGTATCACATGTCGCGATCAAAAAGCAGACGGAGACAATGTTGCGGAATGGTCTGCCAGAGAACCAGAGTGCAGGAATATTGTCTGTTCACCACAAACACACGATAATACAGTAACGCGTGTGTGCAAACCAGTTGGAGGTAAAGTATTTGTAGTTGGCACTGTCTGTACGTACAAGTGCAAAAACGAAGGTCATTACATGGTGCAGTTTGGAAAACCCGATGAGGTAGTAACCACTGGATCATTGGAGGTTGTTAAATGTCCTACTAGTAAACTATGGTCTTCAGGTGCCATAACTTGTGTTCCAATCCAATGTCGACTATTAAAAACTCCCGAATTTGGCCACGCTCCAAAATGCTCTAATTCCAGGTGGTATCAGTCTTCATGCTCCTTCAGTTGTCGTTCCACATACGCACTAACGCATGAAGAACCACTGGTATGCGAAAGCGACGGAGACAATTCTGATAAAACGGGAAAATGGAGTAGAGAGGAACCGACTTGCAAAAAGAACCAATGCGAACTATTTGGACGAGTCAACAACAGCGTAATTTCATATACTGATGAACAGAGAATTGGCTCACTCGCTAAACTCAAATGCAATCCAGGTTATACCTATAAACAATTACAAGATGTGGAATGTCTAGACTCGGGTCCAACCAGGAGCGTTCCGGTCTGGAGCAGAAGCGAAAACGTTTGTTGCGTCAGATGCCTTTTCAACAAAAGATTGAAAATTGTTTCAGTAATCGATGAAACTATTGGAAATAGTCAAGTAATTTGGGAAAGTATTGCAGCGTGGCATTTTTACATAATTGAACGTTTATTCATCAATGGATACGATATCAACTTTGGAATGGTTCTGTATCACACAAAGGTTAATACTGAAACTTCAACGAGGCTAAACAAGCTCAAAAGATTTAGCGATGTTGAAGACATTCAAGACCAGCTTTTAGATAAAACACATGGCGGAATTGGTAAGCTTGATATATTTTTATGAAAGAAAATGGTTACTTTATTTAGTCATGTGGTTTGGCCTAGTAATGACCGCCTTTTTATTCTGATACTATATAATCAAATTGAGAACTTGTCAACTAAGCATTTGAGTTTATATGAATAAGTAGGCTACAATTATGTGGTTGCTGAGGATAACAAGCAAACTTTATTATCATTCTATTACATTTATAGCATGATCTACATACGTGATAGTCATTTGATTTCAATACCTATATGATTATTGATGTTGATAATAAAAATGAAATAATAAAAATAATATTTTTTATTAGGATCAAACACTGGTGCAGCATTGGACTATACTATGTCCAAATATTTCCACCGAAAGACGAAAGAAGAGCCATACGTCATTTTACTCAAAAGCGATACTTCCTCTGATGATGAAATGGAACCAGCTCAGAAGATCAGAAATGCGGACATAAATGTAAGGCATTACACAACATATATATAGTATTCACATAGAGCTTGGAACCTTGTAACAAATAAACTTATTCAAAATAATCATAGCGAAGAATATTACATTACAACCTTCGTGATAAATCTGAAAAAAGTTGTTTCATGAAAATTAATAAAAAAAAATGTAAAGCTCGGTTTCAAACCAAGAATAGTCTTCAACTCTGTTCCTACAGCATGTCGATAATTACCGGTTGGTGTTAAAGTTATACGTTGTGCTTGGTTTATGTCAAACAATGACAATTTTGAACTAATATTTTGATATCTTTTTCAATATTTGTTTGAGTCATATTTGATCACAGTGCCACTTTCAGCAGTATAAATAACATTATGTTGTTCAGAAGTTTTGAAAAATCTGCAAATCATCTTCATTTCGTTTCAATTTGATATTTTTCTTTAAGTTGATGGCGCTCGGTTTCAAATCCGGAAATTGGAGAGCGAAACAAAAAAAACTAGCTGCCATCACTGGAGTAGATGAGAACGCGATCATGATCAGTGATTTGAGAGACATCAACAGAGTAGCAGAAGTCATTACAGAAATCACAAAAGCACGAGGCTGCGACTCGTCCAGCAGAAACCAGCCTTGCTCTTAACTGCAATTTCATGTATACCGGAGTCCACAGTTTTCAAGGATTGAATTCACTACCCACGTTTCGATTGATTAGATTAGGTACAATTAATTGATATTTTGATCACAATTGCTGATTCTGTCAGGATTGATTTTCACCCTGTATTTCATTGCAAAACTGGTTTATAATAATTGACAATGTAAAGAAGAAAACGTATGATCTAAACAGTGATTAACTTTTACCAACAATAATATAGGATACTGGTGTCAAGCAGACAATGTTATATTTGCATGTTTATTGCTATGTATTGCTTAAAGGAGATTATCGTGATATGTTTTGGCACAGCACTAATAATTCGAAGCGTTAAATATACAATAAATATGAAAATAACACCCGTACTTTAAATTTAATCGACTTTGAATTCGGCTTACTAAAATATTTGCTCCGCATTTGTGCCGGAGGCAAAAGGCTTATTCCTATATGATAGTGATATATGGATATTATTTAATCACGATATCGCTTGGTTAGTTTACAGTAAATATCCGACAAAGTACATTCTAGCAGTGTAATTTGTGTTAGAGCGTACAAACACATGACTACCATTATCTACTCTGCATAATAACTTTCATTTTAAATTTTGAAACAAAGGCAACATTGTTCCGATTCCTCTGATATAGCGATTACTTTAGGACTCGTAATACCTCGTGTCATGTAAATATTGCTTCAGTTTTCTTTTCGGCGGATTGTTTACGATGTCACTTTCGATCGACAAACTACCAACATATCTTTTCAGATTAACTATTCCACCTCGCAGCAAATAAACGCACGTTCGATCAAGCAAAGTTTGGAAATAATCTGTTCAACATTCATGTATGATTGTAATATAGACGAAAGATAAAAAAAAAATCATTCAAATTGTCTTTGTGTTGAATATACTTACATTTAGATAAACAAAAACATTGCACTCGTACATATATATTTATATTGCAAATGTCGAGAAAGACTAAAAAACATTTCTTACAACAAGTATTTAGCTTTTGAATCTGATTTAAAATTGATATCGGACTTTGAAAGACTGCCTGTTTTAAACTCACGTAGGAAATAAGATTAATGCAATTGTAATTAAACAACGCTTATAACAACTCTATTTTGTGACGTCTTTGGCAGATACCTACTTTAAATTATGGAAGCTTATTACTCTGAATGTACAAGGGTTTTATCTATCGATAAAAAAGAAGTTACTAATGGAAGAATATAGATCTTGAAAGCTAAACGTGGTTATTAATTGGGGTGGAGATGGTCATGATGCCAAAGAAATATTCAAAACTAAATTTAGGAATCTCACATTCGGGATCTAAAACAGGCATTAGATCTACGAAATAGGCTAAATTTGCTAGGTTTGGTTTATTAAAGCACAAAACGATTTATTTAACATTGATGTTATTGACGATGAGCAAAAATGTGATTTGCAATATTTTTGTTGTTTTATACTACTTTGAAAAAAAGTGAGAATTTTATTTGACAAACAGTGATGTGATACAACAACTAGCAATATAATGGGTGATGTGACTCTTGGAATGTTTTACAGACACATAAATCGATACTAATTTAAAATGTTATAACAACAATTATGAACTTTGTGTAAAGGAAATAAAGTACTGTACATTTCCACATATGGCAATATTATTAACCAAACACCTCATTTTGAAAAATATACACATTTAAGATTGGCCATTTAATATTTGAATACATATTCAGAATGCTAAGCTTATTTTGGTATACACTTAGTGCGTACATGAAAATCCGTTATGCTAATATTATAGACGGATATCAGCTGCATTTTAACATTTTAATCTCCAAACATACTGGCAAACGACTTTCGGAGATTTCGGATCTTCTCAGCGTTGGTCTCTTCTTCGTTAGATGGCGCTACCGGGCCTGTATAAGATCCCGGTGACGATGGTGCAGAACTTCTTATGTTTCCGCCTTGGACACGCCCACTTGAGTTGCTTGTAATAGAATTGCTTCTACGAGGCGAATCTGGTGGGGATCCTGGAGCACTGACGGGCGCCGATGGAGGTGCAGACATGTTTCGTGATGGATTTTGCTTGGCGTATGTTTGTCGCCTACTAGATTGATTCTGACCTCGACTGAAAATAGATGTAACATGCCACTATTTGTTTAGAGTGTAAATGGTCGCAGAATAGAAAAAATTGATATGTGGCTCAACTCAAATTTCCTTTACTAATGATAAATATAATCTAATAGCCATTATATCGCAGTATTTGGCAACACAGATCCTGTTACGAATTTTTGCTTTTGAGAGAAGAAAATTGTTGCCAGGTTTTTTGTGTGTTTTGATCCTTTTAAAAAAATGTAGTTTATCAAAAAAGGGAACTCTGTGCTCAAAATAACCAAATCATTCTTTGGATTTTCTTAATTTAAATATGAAAGAATGATCAATTTTATGCCAGATGAGTTCATAAAAATACACCAAAACTTGTTGATTGAAAGGATTTCGTATGGCAAGAACTTGCGACTATAAATTGCCATTTTACGCGTTATTAACGATCGCTTTGCTTGGAATCAATAGCATTTAATTTTGGTTAGGAGATCTGAATTTACAACTAATGCACGTATGGAAACAAATCAATAGTCGGTTAAATCTTCCTTCTCAATTAAAACTGACAATGCAAAAATAGAATAACTTACGGTGTTGCTTCGGGTCTTGGTCTCATACAAGCTTTCATTCTCTGCATGACAAGTTCGCTGATGATTTGTCGATCTTCTTCTTGTTTTTCGCCAACAAGTGGCATACAACAATCTGATACCTTAACACAACGTTGGGGAAAAATTAGTACGAGTTGGTTACGATAGACACCAACTTGGTGGCTGATATCGGAACCTAATTTGATTGATGCATCTATATCATCCTGAGCACCCACTTTTGGGGGTATGTCGTCCAATGAGTTGAGCGATGCGTCACAAGCACGGTCGCACGAACCTGAACGGTTCCCAAATTAAGAAAAATGTTTATCTAACTCAAAGAATTGAATATATATTATAAATATGATTTTGAAACAATCTTGTGATTATTTATGTTAACGAAATAACTTGGAATTGGTTTTAAAAATGCATTTGGTTCCTCAATTTAAATGCAACATGGATCTAATCTGAAAACATCGATACAAAGAACTCTCTAAATAACAAGATCAATTGCACATAATTCCCACCTCAATGATATAGTCTTGGCCATCCGCGCCATGTACTGCTTTGACTGACACAATATCCAGACCTCCAAACATTTCACTGCAAGCATCAACCCATAATCGATGTCGGTCAGAAACAGGAATTTCTTCCAACATAGCGGACCCCATATTTGCCTTCCAATTGTTCGAGATAGAAGTTCGTCTAGAATCATGATAAGTTATTATATTTAAATGTTAGTAAATCAATTTTAAATAACCAATGAATAGTTTCCATACTTGTTTGATCCCGTATATTGCAATATTCGCAACAAAGAAATTGCTAGTAAAATTGCTACAAAAAATACGATGGCTCGCGGCATCATGCAACACAGCAATGCCCAATGGAAGTTATATATATTATGCGACAAGTGCAACTGATTTACCGTTTCTTCAAAATAAGTGACGTGAATGTACTATTATCAGCGCTCCACAGTGTGTGTATCCATAGGGAGGTAACTAATTTTGTTCGCCTACTTTACATCAAGTTGTGTAAAGGAACTGAAACCCATGGACAGGGGGTATATTCACTTGGCTAACACAGCCTGTCACCGAACTCGTAATAGAACTAAAATATAGGAAATCGGAATAAAATTATGCCCCAACCATAATCTGGTACACACACTACGGAAGTACCCTATTATCTAATGTCCCAGTCAGCATTAGTCTTTCTACCGGAACAGATATGGCAACATTAAATTCCACATTTTCTCCTCTCGCTCCTCCTTGGCAGCGATGCTTGCAACTAATTCAGTAATTCACATCAATCACTGTTGTTGAATGTGTAATTACGATTACTGCAATTTATAAGTTGATATTTGAACTTACACATGAGCACGATAAGTTCCACCAATCTTCTGAACTCTGATGTCAAACTTAGATTCCACAAATGGTTCGCTTACAGCGTAGGTTCCGGATAATGCGACAACTCCAGCCACATCTTGAAAATTGTGATGATTGTTCACTTTCAACTTCGCCATCCCACCGTGGGCGTGGCCTATCTTGACGATTACTGGAAACGACGAAGCAGTCAGCTGTAAAAAATATATATCTATATATATTGCAAATTTTGCTCTAATGTTGGGTCGTGATACCTCACTTGCAGACTTTTAAGTCGCAATCGTATCAGCAGAAAATGTTACCAGAGATTTTTTGCATTTTTGATGACTGGAAAAACCAAAAGTCAAAACGGTCGCGCAATTGATATGAAGCTTGCCAAAATCTGGTTGCTCAAAATATAAATGCATCTTCATTAAATTTTTCGGCTTGAAATAAATATAATAAATATTTTCTAATTTTATAAACAGTCTCGCATTAGTCACGATAGCTTTGCGTGCATAAATATGAAATATTAGTACTCAGTATATCACTAGTATTCACTGTTGTATATAGAATAGAGGGTGATCGCTTTTTAATCAATAAACTATAAAGTAATATGCTTATGTATGTATCAACTCGAGCTATTTGTCGGTGTACAAAAATGTTTCACATTTTATTGGAGATCCCATGAAATCGACAATAGAGAGATAGATATTTAAAATACATAATACGAAGTTAGTATTTATGGTGGTATTATAAAACTTACAATGACAATCGGTGTACGATTAGCGTGGGTTGTGGGGGTGTGACATCATTCAGCCTATTAAATAACGTAACAATACTATTTTATTTTTGCTATTCATATACGATTTCTCATGTGACTTCTATGCAAATATGAATAAATAAATGCCGCAGACGTCTGCCATTCTAGAAATGGCGCCAAATCCACCCACGAAGCTTTCGGGATGAGTGTTGCCAGAAAATCACCTCCCAGAAGATAAACAGACGTTCAAGATAATCATGTTAGACATTTTGCAACACTGTAGATAAATACCGTGGCAACATGATTAAATACATCAGCAAAGGTTAGCTATAGCTAAGTTCGGAAACCATCAGAAACCTGTAGCTTCCCACCCGATAAATACCAAGTCAATCACAATCGATCACGAAACCACAGATTAAGATATTATTTTCCAGCAATAAAAATGGTTGCAATTAACCGTTAAGGATATCAGACAGAGAATAAGGTGTATGAGTGACTCAAATCGACCTATTCAATTTCTTAACAAAAAACAGACATTTGACAGTTACTCTTAGCATAAGTATAAGGCGATCGTATGAAATTGTTTTGGCTATTCTGAACCAGAAAGATCCTCAATTTCTCAAAACATTGATTAATATGTAATCCTTGAAACTTGTGTGAATCCCGGACAAGTTTCGGTTTGGGAGTGTACCAACATTTCAAATCTTACGTGAGGAAAACATATATACACGTAATCAACATTATGTCCCTGAGCTTATAAATAAACCCTAATCATGACCTTGCAAGTGGTAAATAGGAGAAACACAAGTGGTGTAGGCGTTGCAAATGCATCATTTTGAGCTGATTTAAATCCACCTGAGTAAACTTTGTGAAAAGTTTAATTATGATGGACATGAAATTATCCACCTGCCGTCATAAATTTATGATATATTAATCAGAAAAGCGCCGCAGGTGGTCTGATTCGACAAACGTTGAAATGCGGTCATTTTAATCGCTGTTTATCTTCTTACCATACGTGATCTTCTCCGCAAGACAACATTGCAACAACATAGTGTGGTAAGTTTAACACAAGTTTCTCCTTTGGAAAGAATTTCATTTTCATTACACGTCGATGTGATGTACATATTCTGCGAACGCCTTCAGTTTAGGTCAAGTCTAGAACTTCGGTATGTAAATATTGAGTACGATAAGCATTTTGAAATTGGTATATAAGAGCATATTTGACCAGTTTGGGTCTCTGAAAATGCATTATAGGTGTTGTTTGTTGTAAAAGTATTCGGTCTTCAATTTTTCGGAGGTCAGTTTTATAAGCTCTTTTATGTTCATGTTTATATATAAAAACACATGAAGAAATGTTTCATGAACTAGTATGCCGGAAAGCTGGGTGAACAAGTAAGTATAATTCTGCTATTCTAGATTTTATATCTGAAAAACATTTTTGATGTATAAAACCTGACTATTTATCAATAGGAGGATGGATTGCAATTTATAAAAACGAACGCCATTCTCTGATTCTTCCGATATATATCGTCCTGGATGCAATTTGAATGTTCTCCTCGGATGAGGAATACTGGCTGCCCTCTTGATTGCGGTTTTGATTTTTAGGGAATGTACATGAAGCTAATACAAACGAAGTTCATTTGCAAATTATCAACGTAAAGTTGAGAATGTTACTTTAAAATTTGGACTCGGAACTGACGATAAATGACGCAAAACGTCTGAGTTACGTTTTTGACTTAGGGGACGATCTACGTAAAAAGGCACGCCGCAATTGCTTCCTCTAACTTTCAAATGACGTCAATAATACGCTTAGACTCCTTAGAGCATAAGTTCTATTTTAAAAACCATTTACAATATCGTCACGAGCTGTCAACACTTTCACGTTCAAAAGTGTAATCGCTGGTAGACAGATAAATAAATAAAATTAATATATACGTATTCGCAAGTTTAAATATGGATGCTTCGTAACAGCGACAGACTGCTCTTTGACATAACCCGGAAATGACATCTTCTGGAAACGGGGAGTGTTTATATAAAGCAAAGCGCCCGTAGGCATTGAAGTAATACGGTGTTTGCAGAAACGCGATACTTTCAATGTAGATTAGTTTTTCAATAAGAGGTCGCCTCCGTGATTATGCTAGAATTATTCACCTCATTTGAAAAAATCCAAAAGAATATATTCTATTGTCTTGCACTCAATTTACAAGTTGGTGTTTTGTCTTCCGGTAAAATAAGCCTGTTGTAGACTTGAGGCCAGTGTTAGGTAATAATCATGGAAAACATAGAAAGTAGTGGATGCATGGTCAGACAAAAATGAGAAAGATGAATCTTAGAGAACGTGTGTTTTACCACATGAATTAAATACACACTTATCTATAACTCCGAATGATCAGTCAAGCAAAATAAAAATATATCAATTACAAAATGAATCACTATAGAACCCTAGTAAAACCGGCGTAGCAAAACCAATTTTAAGACAGCAATGAGAAAAATAGGGGTAGAATATGTTGTTCGAACGAGCAGAGGGAATCATTGCACGTTTGTGAAACTACAAATGAATCATAATAAATGTCTAGTCGAACCGAAAAATCGAAAACATCGCCCGATTTGTTTTGCACGTTGTTATGGTGCCAGGACTTGTGTGATTTATCAATCATAGTAAGTCGACAAGCAAATGTATTATTAGAATAAGATTCTCTCTTACAAAATCTTTGTGAGAGATTTTCAAAAAAACAAAATTAGACAACAGGCGGATATCTTTGCATATCCAAGTTTCTTATCATTTAAAAGGTTTGTTTTATTACTTGAATCGCTGAAAGGCTGATCAGAAATTTTGAATGCTTTTTTGCAAACATACGCTTTTGATAGAGCCAAGCCTAAATTTAACTATAGTTCATAACTACGAATGTATAGTTAGCGTGAATATAGTTAAAGCTTTTCTACCAGGAACAAGTCGAACGAACGCCACAGGTAGGACATTACGAAGAATGCACGCGGCACCAAATATGAACTAACTACTCGAGGTTTACAGTCATAAGCAATGAATCCAATGACACTGCCTTTTGTGTTGTCAGTATAAATATTATTCTATTCAGGTTGAGCTGTCAATTTTCGTGCAATTGTATTGAGTATAATCAGTATATTTTGGTCGTTGATTTTTACACAATCTTTTAGCTTTATTTAACTGATGCAACCAGGTATCACGAGTTTACGACCTAGTATTTTAACTAGGATGAGCAATATATATTAAGTTATATGATTGCTAACGTTGTGTAACTTCGCAACAGCAAATAAACAAAGAAGCAGCAGTGGTAATTTATGACACTATGACAACAAATTGAGTCGAAAATGCTATTTTTTCACATTTTATATACAAGTATATTGTGCAATGTACTGGATGCCGATATAGACACTGACTGATATTTAAAAAGATGATGTGTTACTGATTGATTTATTCGTACAGAATGTTTGTTGCTATAATAATTTGATGATTAGGTACTCATAACAAATGCTACAAAATAGGCAGGATCATTATTTTAGCAATAATTTTAATAAGGCAGACCAAAATGTACTAAATAAATCAGTATATATATAGAGTAATTGAAATGTCAATGACATGATGTTTATTCGCATGATCTTCATAAAATAACACAATAGGAATTTTGCTGGACAACTGTAAATATTTCAATCTTTTTTTTGCAGATCGTAATATTAGAAAGTGATAGCATTTGTCTTATAGACTTCAAAATGGCCAGTGTCTTAGTGTTTGTCCTGGCAACTCTTTTGTGCTTTGATGTGTACAATATGGTGAATGCATGTTCCTGCCAACCTGAACACCCGCAAAATTTGTATTGTAAATCAGAATTCGGTGAGCTATACGTCTGTATTATATAATAGTCACAAAAAAGCAGCATTGTTTGTATAGTATATGTTGTTAAATTATATGGGTATGTCTTGATCTTAAAATATAACAATTTTAAAATACAATATTTAGTTATTTAAGGGTACGTGCGCCATTAAGTAGGAAATGCCCTGGGAGGATAAAACAATTTAGAGAAATTCCCGAAGAAACACTATTTTACCCACAATGTTAATAACCTATTCAATGATGAATATTAGCTATGTATAAGCAGCCAATAATATGTTAAAAACACTTACATACAATTTTGCCCGTAGCAAGGCTTCTTTTTATAATATAAAATTACTCATCAATGTGTTGCAAGCGCAAAGTTCGGTAGGCTAATACCCAAATATGGGTATTAACTTGCGTGAATAGTGTATTGAAATTACACGTGAGAACGTGTTTCGTATACTTGAACTATTTCATTTATTTATTCAGTAATAAAGGCTCTAGTTGGCAAAGCAAGATTGGTTGAACTTGGAAATGACGGAAAATACAGAAGAATTCACAAACATAAACCCGATAAAGAAGATTCAAGTGAAAGTTCGGGGTTTGCTGATAAAATAAGCCATGAAACCGAGGTGATTTCATTTCAGACAACTATTAAGAGCAATTCAATACACAGGCTATTCTTTAAAAACTGTTACAAATAGACTACCAAAGTGGAATTTTATAGTTAACATGTGTTCATAGTTTAATAACCTGTTCATCTAGATCAGGGGTGACAAACCTGCGGCCCGCCAAGGAATTTCGTGCGGCCCGCGTAGCATTCAGGCGATTTAGTGTATGTTTGGCGTGAAGTCATGAATCTTATAAATACTTATCTGATGATTTGCCATGACATTCCCATGAAACTGTCCGCGCAATTGGACATGCCACTAGGACAATCCTTAGATCCGCGATAAAATATCAACGACTACAATTTATTTTAGTACAATATAAATTGATTGTACACTGATGCCGTGGTAGCCGATCAAAACATTCAAGAGTAAAAAATGCTGCGGAACGGAAATTCGGATCCCGAACCGGAACTCGCAGCCCAGTGAAATGACGAGTGTATGCGGTTGAAAATTTCCCAAATCGTCAATTCGTCCTAATATGAAGCGCTTGGTAAAGCATAAAAGTTGCCAAAAATCTCACTAAGAAAAACATGCATTAGTTGTTCTATTTTTATTTTATGCTGTAATATATCATCAAATAACTTCAGCTGTATTGATGCAGTTGTTCGCTTTTGTTGATGAAAATTAAAAGGTATAGTATGACTAAAAAGTTGTGTGGCCCGTTTACTCAGCGGTGACTGATAGAATGGCCCGCGATAGCAAATGAGTTCGTCACCCCTGATCTAGATCAAAATAATTTTTACGCATCAACAAGTCTGGTTGCATTCAACTATGACTAGTAGCGTTTCCACATTTTAGGTCTATTCGGTTTCTTATCTATATATTTAATAAAGAGTGTCATAGGCTGGCACTAAAATCTCCTGAATGTACCATATCGACGTATTGAGATGAAAAAAAGTTGTTGTTTATTGGGGGAATTTCCCATGGTGTATTGTTGAAAAAAACAAACATTTTGAGGTCATTATGACCTCCTATGAAGTTCTATATAATGCCACGAAACATTCCATTGAAGCAACGATAAAAATTCTAAATAATTCCTAGTGCAATTTTTAGGAGAATTCTGAAGTAAGTACAGTAAATATACTGAACGAAGATGCAAATGAAGAATCAGACCCGATGTTAGTTGTTGAACGTGTGTTGCCTTACCCTTTGACTAACGAAAAAGAGGATGATACAGAACCTGCAGCTGGCATATCTTCTGCAGCTGTAAGTAAATTGGTCAGAGGTATTTTACTGGCTGTAAAGTAAAAAGAAGATTTCTCACAAAACAGAGGCAATCTTGATCACAAAGAGATAATGTTGCTTTGGAGCCTTTGAAGCTTTTGGTAGTCAGCCCTACACGATAACTACGTAACCAATAAACATGATTCGAATCAAACTTTTGATATTTAGTCTGCTAGCAGCCTGAAAATATCCCCACAATATGCGAAATCAATGATATGTACAAAGCCGTGATTAGATCCATGCAATTAAATTTAGCTTTCATGTTTCCAGGCCTTCAAGAGACGTAGAAGGGGTAAGTTTTAATTCAAGTAATTATAAATTCTATTATTTGTATATAAATTACATTTATATTGACATGTTATTCATGTTCGCAATTAAGATGGTGCAAGACTACTTGCTACCATCTTAAGATTACATTTTGGTCACCAAAAATTAAAATATGGTATATATTAGCCGAAATCATTCTCGTTTTGTCACCCACTGTGTGTAGTTCTAAATCTGCCTTGGTCGTCCATTCTCTTATTAAGGTCCAATCGGATTGGCCAGGAGTGTAAACGAAAGTTTGAACATAAGCTTGATAGCACTGTTTGAATTAGGCATAGGAAATCTACATTATATTAGAATGCCTTCCCGATAAATACATACCAGTTTATTTAGACAACTGTACAACATTTGATACATTCAATTAATAGACTGTACAGACTAACAGGGGGTTATTTTATTCAGCGCGTACACCAGTACCATATACCAAGAGAACCGCTATCCGATTGAAAAATAGACTTCTAAGAAACTTCTTACGGCACAGATATTTACCACCTGGTAAGAATAAGCTTCTGTGTTGTTGAGAAATAGCGCTAATATTATATGTAATGCTATAATAACAAAAATAGAAATGAATTCCGTTACCATTAGGACCGATTACTATATTTCACTGTTGTTTATAACCTGATCAATATATATACTGGTAAAGTAAACGCAACAATCAATTGCCATAAACATGCGTTCATTCGTTAAAATAAACTGAAGGAGACAATGTCTCCAAAATTCAATTATTTCTACCCGATCCTTTCTAGCAATATTTTACCAGTTTTCAGATACCTTTGTACATATATATCTAATGTAGGGATGTTTTGGACTATCAATTTTACTGTTACAGGTGCTCCGTCAAGGCAAGCAACTCCAGAGAAAAAACTGATGATGCAATACAAAATATCGATTGTGAAGGTACGAGCTTACTTGAATTTCTATTGAAATACATAATGTTGTCATCCACATTTCCGAAAACTTTTCAAAGAAACTTGTCCGTAATTGATATATACCCTATAGGGTGATTTGCATATTCAGCGATAGTTCATCTAAATGCTCATTCGTTGCTAAATCATTGCTATAACGTTCATTGCTATATCTTATATTGACACATTCTGGTATTTTTCATTACTCTTCATACGCCCATTGAAATTACCTGCCACGCGAGGTCATTCACACAAAACGATAATAATTGAATGCCTAATTCTTATGTCTCAAAACTATCTTTTAGACATTCAAAGGACTAGAAAACGTAACTAAACAGCAACGTGCTTACATGTATACACCACCTCGTCCACTATGTAATATGAGACTGACAACAAGTAGATCTCCATTTCTTTTAATGGGTAAGATTGAACCTCAAATTTTAATTTTACTCAAAGGACAAGTTAATATTATATATACCTATGTAGCGATTCAAAGAAAAGTGTTTGATATCCTAATAAAATATATTTGAATGAAATAAAAGTTTTAAGACGAAGAATTTTGCCCGTGGTTGGTGAATATTTGAGTTTGTTCAATATTATAACATTTCTAGCAATAAAGTTATAATGCGTAATTCACTAAAATAAAGATTTATGCTGCATTCGAAAAATCTACAAGGATTTTACATAGCCCACACTTTGATTGAAGATACGGTCTGCCAAGTCAATTTAATTAAAAATTTCCGTAATGTATGATTGGAAGAAATTATTTAACACAGTCAAATTGTTAAGTTTTTTTTTATCAAAATTATTCGAGCAAGCTCAGTGGGTATTTAAAAATGACATTTATACTCAGTCGCTTGATTTATATTTCAGGGAATATGCAGGACGGAGTGATGGTTATTCGGGAATGTGATTACAAGATTGACTTGTCAAAGCTTTCTGAAGGAGCATCTAAGAATTTGATCAGAAATATGAGATTCAGATTTGGAGATGGTTGCAAAAGTTGTCATATAAAAGTTTGTAACATGGGAGGCTGTGGACCACTTGTAAGTTTATTTTTAAGTTTTTACGCGTAATATAATGAATCACACACGAAATTTTACGGTACATTCTGATATCATAATAAAACATATTGGCCTAATCAGGTGACGAACCTGCGGCCCGCCAAAGAATTTCATGCGTCCCGCGAAGCATTCAAGCGATTCGGTGTATGTTTGGCTTGAAGTCATAAACCTTTAGGGACTGTACAGGAAAAACGGAAACGCCAGTATTACGTATATTACTGGCAACTCTATTTCTAATACATCTTGTTTCGTTGAATCAACAATGGATCAAAATAACTATTGTCTTAGCCTAGTTACGCTGTCTTATCGGCAAACGCATCGGGATTAATAGAGGAGTAACCTTACTTTGTGAAAATGTAATGTTTTGGTGCACGATACACACGGTATATCTGGAAGTAATAAACTTCAAAATTTCAGCTCAATGATTGAAACAATGGAAGATCTTGAAAAAATATCTACATTTTAAAAATCGGTTATTTACCACTGAATGAATTCGTTTATAATTTCTGTATCTGGAGGCTATAGCGAAACACGGATCTTTTGTACAAAGCCCTCGCCACTAATGCAAAAATGTGAAATTCGAGAAAAACACCACGTTCTTAAATAACAAACTAGTAATTATTCAGATGGGTTCGGGTTCGGAATAATTTGAGAATATGAATTTTCGGCGCAATTTGTATTCCTAGCTATCACTCTAAAACCGTAACTGGATTATTCCAAATCCTTCCTAATGTGAAGCGTTTAGTAAACAGAAAAATTTCCGAAAATTTCCCTAAGGAAAACATGCATTCAATGTTCTATTTGTATTTTATGCTACAATATATCAATGAATAAATTCAGCTTAAGGATGCAGTTGTTCGTTTATGTCGATGGAAATCAATAGGTCTCATAGTATATATGACTAAAAAGTTGTGCGGACCTCTTACTCAGTAGTGACTGATAAAATAGCCGGCGATAGCAAATGGGTTCGTCACCCCTGCTATACACAAATATCATATGTGGAATTTCTTTTTATTTTGATAAGATGTTGTAGTGTGATAGCGTTATTCTATGATTTATTTCCGTGAATTTTTTTTTTTTTGAGAGTATTGTGTGATGGGAAATTCATCCATATTAACAATTGTTTTCATGACAACACTTTTCAAAACGACCTTCACTAACTTCTTATTATTACAGAGTGACAGACAACCATTTCAATGTAAATGGAGAGAGTGGTGGACAGTACAAACTCCGGGTGCAAGTCAGTTTGCCTGCGTACGCGGCAAGTCGGGGAAATGTCATTGGTACAATAGTGGAAACAAACATGCCAAACAAAGTGACATAACATTGTCTTACTCTCGTTAGATGGCAGCATGGAGTACACGAATCAAAAACAAAACATTTGTAAACAATATATCCACTACAAATAAAGCAACAAACTTGTTTTCAGTATTCATTGAGCATTCCTTTTTTCGTTTTCTTATCTTAAAGTTATATACGCACCACGCATATACTGTTCTCGCACCAGTCATCTTTTATGAATTTTTTCACACTTTCATTTAAAACAAAGTTCCAAACCTCCAGCCATTGATAAGGAGGCTGTCATGTGTTCACAGAATGTGAATGATGATTGGGCAACCTAGGCGATGTGGTGCACACGGGTGTAGTGTTCAACAAATAGTGCAAACCCAGAATTACCAAATATTACTATTTACACAAAGAGTTATTTTTTAATGAGATCATATACGCAACAGTTGCTACTGTAATCCAGCACCCATTTTTGTTTGGTTCAAAATAATAAATTGCTTTTCGCGATACAGATTAGACTACCAAGACCAAAAAAGATGTGCTTTTTATGCCTATTAGCGCTTTCCAAATGGTCCATCGGGAAATTAACAAGCCAATTATTTTGGAATTGTCAATTTAAATTCAATCTTGTCGCTACCGTTCAATTTTAATTATGTTATCATTCTAATGATGGACATTTTACGACCAAACAGGGGCCGGACAACTTTCCAAAATAAAAATGGTAGTTTAATTTGGGTCAAGCGTGATCACGCATATTGTCTAATGGCACAGAGAATTCATCGGAATGTGTAAATAGGTTTTTATCTTGATTTTGCTTTGTTGATTTGATACAGTGTTTAATAAAAACAACAGTTGTAATAAAATCACAATGTAGAGAATGTTGTAAACATAATTTCCATACAAATCGTGTCCGCAATATGCAGAGTAACGTTCTATTCAATTTGATAAGGTCGTCGTAATTCAAAAGTTACAAGTACTTAAACCCCGATTCACGGGTCAAGCCAAGTCAAGGGTAGTCTTATTGAGAGGCAGCATCCTCAGCAATTGTATTATTTAAGTAATAAGCCGAGTCGAGTCACTGCTGTTTGAAATCAAAAATCGGTAGTCCCGTAGTGTGTGTACCAACCAGGTTATGGTTAGGTCATAATTTTATTCCGATTTCCCCTTATTTTAGTTCTATTACGAGTTCAGAGACTGTCTGTGTCAGCCATATGAATATACCCCCTGCCCATAGCTATCAGTCCCTTTACACAACTTGATGTAAAGTAGGCGAACAAAATTGATTACTTCCATATTGGTACACACACTTCTGGAGCGAGTCATAGTAACCACATTATCACTAAAACTTCCATATTGTGTTAAATTAACGTTATTTGAAGTTTCACATTTAATCATATATTCACAATATGTATGCCGTCGGATTACATCCACGATGTCAACACGAAGCATAGTCGAGCTGTTTTAGATCGAATTTCGTTTGGGAACCGAATAACAAGATTTTTTTTTTTTGAATTTTGTGGATAGATCCACAGGCGCCTCCATACTCTTAGACCAGCTCCATGACATTAATTGTCTGGGTTCGGCTATAATAAAGAAATAGAAGTCATTCTAAACGTATATATCATTACAATAAACGGTGTGAAATTTAATTGGTTAAATGATTTCACACTATTACGCAACTTATTTATAGGACAACTTCGAAATGCGGGGGCTGTTAAATATGGCGCAATAAATCAAAATTTCTATGATAATATTTCATGTTATTGTTCAGCTTGCCTCGTGATAAATCCTTTTATGACAGCGCGTGTAATCCTTTCTACAATCGAAAGGCGACGAAATCAAATATAGAAAGTGCTATTACGGCTATGGCATATGTTTTCAAACTCTCCATGATCCATAGATAAGTTGCACCTACATGGGATTATTTATAACTCATTCATGTTTGGCTGGCTAATAAGAAAAATACAAGTTATAATAAGCCAACGACTGAAAATCACGAAGTCAAATATGGTGGTTAGAGAATACTAACAAAACAGTAAAATTATTTTCGGGAAAAAGTCAATATTTTATCAGCAAAGTAAACAATCATCTTGAAAAGCATTTAAAAATCAAATAAACTGTGCTAAAATGTTATTTGTTTGTACAGTGCGGCTATGTCAAAATGCCATTGAAAGACAGATTTCTGATTTTTTTTAGTAGTGTATTCACTAAAAAAGCAAATAAATTGAAAATAACCAGAGCGGAAATATAATATTTGCTAAGTCAGAAAGTTCATTTGTGAAACCGTCAAAACATAATACGCGATTGTGTTCCCTTTTTCAAATCGAGCCGGAATTTTCGCAAACGTGACTTTCCGTTATTAAAAGCGATTTTCACATCGGAATGTTGCATATATCGATGTCAGGTGTGACGTTTTATTTGAGAAGAAAATTCATTTCATTAACGTCGGGATGAATCCCGTGACTTACTACAAATTGATATAAATAAAAGATTTTCGTCAAGAAGACAGAGACAAATTAAAAGAGTCGAAGAGGTGCTACACGTGAATTTAATCGGTATTTCAAATACTTCAAACAGGAAAAAACTTCCATGTGGTCACATGTATACAAGCTATTTTTAAAATTTGAAATTTTTAGAGCATAGTAATCGAATAATGTTACTGGAATTCCCACTTGAATATGACTATACCTTACAGCCGTCAATACTTCAAATCTAATCTTCAAATATTCTTTGAATTAATAAAATTCCCATGGTGAAGTGGCGGTCAAGTGGTCAAGATGGACAAGTGGGTGGGAGTAGTCGCCATCACATTGGCTTTTTTTAAATGAATATTGACTGAATAATAAATGAAAGTTTTAATTTAATTCGAATTTGGTTTGGAATAAGTCACAAGCAACAACTTGCAAAAATTATTAATTTCACTGTTGATAATGATAATCTTATCCTTCATTTTTGTATAGTACGTGGGTAAATGCATGAGCAGCATAAAAAAATGAGCAATCTGACCAGGCAAATAAATAACTCCGGAAATTTCATCAAAAAACACCGAAATTAAAATTCGGCCATTTAGCAAATTGCAATATTAAGCGAAATAGTAGGGGCTTGCACGTTTTTTTGTTTGTTCTTAAATAACATGCGTTATATTACATGAGCAAAACTTCTATGTCCCTTTTCCCATTTGCATAGCATGGTCAAATTGCGACGATCGTTCAATGTAACGACCCAGAGCGGTCAATACAAAATTAATTTATAAAAAAATGTGAAGGTAAAAATAAAATAAAAACAAATGAAATAATGGAAACACGTCAACACCCATATATTTTAAGGTGAATGAGGTGCGTGATGGGCGTTATTAATTTAGATGAACTCACTAATGTTGTGTTTGATTGTGAATTTTACTTGGAACCACGAATTACAAGAAAACATTGGCGGCAATTTAGTTAATTTAATGAATTTTCACTATTTCAAGTTTCCTCTTCTATGTAATGATGTGTTGCTGTCAATTGTTCTCAACGACTGACGCATGGAATAAATATCTCTGCACTAAAGTTTGTTTATAAAGCAATTTTCGTTTGTTGCACTATTATATATTATTAAAAATTTAAAATGTATTCTAAGGTTGTTACCCTACTCGAACCCGCAGGAAGCTGACAATTGGTGATATAAAGGATAACAGTCGCAAACTTTAGCTCAGGGTGGTCCAAGGTTGTCTTCGCGGGCCACAAAATATATTTGCATTGTTCGTGGAACACAATAGTGCTAAGAATAGGTAAACAGTGCAATACAAAACAAACACTTTTATTGTGCAAACACATAGTTATCAGACTTAGCCATCCCAGGCTAATAGAATCCGCATTCGATTTTTAGTTTTCTATGATGCCTATATTGTTAGCATAAATTCCCGACCAAAAAGATAGAAAGCCAGATAATAATTTAGACTGCCAAGCACATCATTCAAATTCGCCAGTTGCCTCAGCTGGCCATTACACTAGTCAATTTAGTGACATTATTGATGCAACAATATGTCAGAAGATTTTTCTAATTAATTTTATTACGAAACAACACGAAATGCGGTTTTTTGATCACTCTCCAAATGTGACGCGGGCCACAGATAATGAAGCGGATGGCCACATGTGGCCCGCGGGCCTGGATTTGGACCACCCTGTTTTAGCTGGTAAAAATCGTTGCTTTTACAATGTTGCGTCATTTCTAACAATTTGAAAAAAGCGCTCTACGTATACTATTATCTGGAACATTTTGGGCAAAAGTAACTGTTTCAATAGACAATAACCTAGTCTGTGGATTTATCTGCTTTAAACCATTAGACTGGCATACTTTTGCGAGGACGGTGTTTGTGAGCAGTATATACGAGGCAAACCAAAATCGTCAAAAATACTACAACGTGTAAAAACACACGTGGCACCCTCAATAAATAACTAGTCTAAAATTTGCATCCAAGAAAGGTTCTCATCTACTCCCTAAAAAAATTGCTTAATAAATCAATATCACTCAATGATTCTGTCAAGAAGTTTGTTTTGAATAAGGGATTAATCGACTGATCTTTAGCAGATAAAAGACAACAAAACGGATTCCGTAATGGAAAGTTGCAAAGAACAATTAACTGTGCATTCCTAGGGGAATTGGGCGAAAACGAGGTAAACAAGTACTTTAATTATTTTTCGAATTCTTTGAAAGAAGTATGTTTAGAGGCTTTCAGTCTATTTTTCTTTTCTTTCACAGGTAATACAAAAAAGTTCCAGTACTCCAAATTTATACACCGCTATTTAGTGAAGTAGGTTTCCTACAACTTAGGCTAAAACGTATTATTATTTTGATGATTTAACATTCATCATACTATAACTATATTACAGCATGATCTTGAATCTGCCATTAGCGTTATTACATAAGTTTTTTAACAGTCAAAATGACAAGTATTGAATTTTCGGTGCTACTGAAGTATGCGCACCAAGATGTCGCACAACCTGAACCCTGACCTGGTACACAACCTGAGTTCAGGTTGTGCGCCATCTTGGCGCGCATACTCCAGGAGGTCCGAATTTTGACTCGTCATCGCAAAAACACTTTCCATTATCAGGCACATAAGCATTGCAGTATATTGCCTCAATACAAATTTGAATCAAGCGATTATTTTTAGAATTTAAGGAGACTTTATGGTCACCGTGTACTATTGATAACAAAAACCAACGGCATATCGGACCCTATTTATATGTATTATTATTATCGTCTTTTTGTTATCAATTTCGTTGTATTCATATTGAAGTCAATGATTTTTCCATTGCTGTTAATTGAAGATCGTTACTGATTTTTACCATGTTTTAATATGTGTTCCGATCAATGCAATGTTTTGAAAGATAATGCATTTTAGCATAGAGTAAAAGTCGCGCATTTCTTAGTTTTTAATCTTCATAATGTCATGCTTTTAATTATGTTCTTCGCTTAGTTTTTCCCAAGAATGATGAATTACTTTCCTAATATTGGTCAGTTTGACACTTTTGATTGAAAACCGCAAATGAGCTAAGACGCATTAGCATTTAGATTAGGACGTTTATATTCCGTACACAACTCTATCTTCAAAATTTGAGCATGCATGGAAAGCGCTTAATTAAGCTCACAGTGCGTTTATGGCCCTATGTACTAAATTGAAACGCTTCTGATACTGTAAGGACTGTAAACATGTTTAACAAGCCGACTTTGATTTGACTTTTTGTTTCCCACGTCGACGTAACGAGCAAAAAGTCGGGTTGGAATTTGATAGATGATAAATGAACAGTTGAAAGCATTGAGAAAGGGAATACCACACAGCTACTTTAGTTTTCTTTTTAGATGACCTATTACAACTATCTGATAAATTTTTCAT